GCCAGCAGTAATAAGCAACATCAAAGATTTATATTGAACATGTCTGGCAATTTTAATTTATTGCGAAAAATATTACCTCAGCCAGGGTTTGAACCTGGACCTCCCTCTCACTAGGCGGGCGTCTCAACCAATTCGACCACCGAGGCAAACCCTGGCTGAAGTAATATTTTTCGCAATAAATTAAATTTGCCAGACATGGTCAATATAAATCTTTGATGTTGCTTAAATAATATTGTTATTTTATTTAATTATATTTACTTGCACTTTCATATCGGTTTTAATAATAACTCGTCTTAAAATATATGACAAATCATTTGCCCAACATGTCCACATCATATAGTTATCACAAATGTTTGCAAACCAATAGCTTGCGGGGACCTTGATATTTTTTGCAATATTGATATCCTCAGAGGAAAATTTATTATTTCTTTCTCTTGGCATAAAATATCTATGTTCTATTTGCAATGCCTTATTTATCCCATGCGACGTAGAAGAAATTGGTTCTTCCGCTGAATGTAAAATTGTTTCTAATGATTCACATTCAGTTGAAAATTCACAAGACATAACGTCATTATTATTATTTTTATGTTCTATCTGCTGACAATACGGTATAGTTTTTGGAAAAATTGAAGGAACAGCTCCTTCTCGTAATTTTGGATTTTTTCTTTTCACATAGATAACTGTACCATCGACTTGTAAAAATGCATCTTCTTTAATAATATCTTCTGACTTAAAGTGCAGTTCACAAACTCTACTATTCTTTTTTATTTGTATATTGATAGTAGACAAAATATTTTTCCAAGAGTTAAACATATCATTCTATAAAAAAATTAAAATTTTAAATATATTATACATAAAATATATAATCGCGTATAACTTTAGAAAAATAAAAATAAATAATTTATTCCTTACAGTGTAAATACTTACTGTGCGAGGGGTAAAAAAGCTTCTTGCTAATCCATTTTTGTCTCTTCTCGAGTTGCATTCCTTGATGCAACAAGCCATTTTACCGTGTTCGAGAATGCGCGTTAAGG